TTGATTAAGCCACTGATCAGTGTTAGTATATTAACATCACATCGCAGCAAACACATCTTTCTATCAACAAACAAAAATGGCAAATATTGAGAAAATTGAACGAGAGTTGAAGGAAGTGAAGGAGCAGCTGGAAGAGGCGAAAAACGAATTGCGGGAGTTCAAGGGGGGAGATGATGGGCAGTGGCTTACAGAATTGACAAAGAGGTTGCGGAGAGAAGAAGGAACTGCGACGCAGCAGCAAAGATGGGAGAAGGAGAAGGAGAAGCTAGAAAAGAAGGAAGAAAGGCTGGAGGATGATGTCAGGGCGTGTAGGAAGCAGGTGGAAGAGTTGCAGAGAATATTTGCATCTGCACCCACTCAGACAGGTAACGACTTTGTGACTCGGGCGTTGGGGACATAGAGTAGTTTGTACATAGGGTGGAGTACATAGATTAGAGTTATGTATGATAACTTGCGACATCTATTTCTTTCTGTAAGCAAAATTATTTATTATAAATATTAACCAAGTCATGATTTATTCTCAGGGGCCAAACGTAAAATCGTAGAGGATGAGTATGATGAGTTGAATAACTATCTTAAACGAATTAGAGAGGGACCTTCACCGTCAGAATATGCTGGAAGAGGAAATAAAGGCTGGCCTTCTGGACAGCTCGGTGAAGATCCTTTATACTTAATTCACCGCCCGGCTTCTGCGTCTGGAAATCCTATTACAATCTATCATCCAATATTTGAGAACTTTGTGAAAGATTGCCGAACTGCTGTTCCCACACAGGAAACCTACGATCATGTTGTAGAACTTACCGAAAGCATGTCTGGTGCGTTCCGTAATGAAGATTTACGAACAGACGAGTTTCACTGTTTGCTAGAAAAGTTTAATATAATAGTCAACAGAATTGGTAACGATAAGTTCATAACGGATGGTACCGCGTTGGCCGGAGATGGATGTTTTTTTGTTATCAATGTTGAAGTGAAGCCTGAACTTGGGGAAGGAAATGGCTGTCCGTATATTCAGGGCATTGTATATTACGGGAAGAAAGTAGCTCAGTATCTAGAGACAAGGAAAGAACAACGGACACGTTTGCCTTGTTTTATCTTGTACTTAGCGGGTAAGA